GGGTCTGAGGGAGGAGGATGCAGCCCCCTCACCGGTCGATGAGCAGGCGACGCAGCGAGGCAGTGACGAGGTTGGCCACCAGGGGACAGTTGTCCCTGCGCACGGCCTCCAGGCCCTTGCAGTCCATGCGGTCGTGGGTGTCTGGGCTCGAGGAGAAGAGCAGGCCGGCGTAGCGCTTCTTGCTGATGAGCAGGTAGGGGAAGTAGACCTGAGGGCGCCCCCCAAACCCATGACTCAGACAGTGGGGGGGCGGCTGTCAGGCCCTGTGCGCCACAGAGCCAGCCCTGTCCACTCCCGGGCCGGTCTCAGTACTGCTGCACGTTTGGGCCTGTTGCTTTCCACACTCGGCCAGCCCATGCTGTGAGGGTCTGCCTTGCTCACCGACCCCGCGCTTTACCAGGCGCGATGTCCTTCTCCAGGGACCAGTCCTCCTGATAACACGACCCCCCCCACCCACCCAGGGCGAGACCTTGCCTGGCCTTCCTGGCACCTGAGGAGCCCTGCACTCGGGCTGCCCTTTCTCAGAACATGTTTTTGCTCACTTGAGAAGACAGATCTAAGGCTGAGTTTCTAGGCCCCGTGAAGGAGATGCACCGAGACTGGAAAGGATGCCAGAACACAGCCCAGGAGCACAGGGGCAGGGGTACAATCCCCACGCACCAACACCAGACCTGATGGCCAGTCAGCCGACTCCCAGCCACCCTGTGGGACAGAACTACTGCCCAAGGTCCCTGGGCTCCCTGAAAAGACAGGTAAATCAGTGCTCCCTGCAGCAACAGCACAAATGTGTGCAGAACGAAAGTGTTCGTCCACGGATGAAACGGAGCAATCTAAATGTGGTCACAGAACGAGAGACGGCTCGGTTGTAATGAGAAAGGCGGGCCCGACACCTCGACGTGGGTGAACTCAGGGCACTGTGCCGAGAGCGGTAACTTGAATGCCGAGGACAAACGCCGAGGCGTCACTCAGAGTACAAGCAGCCGCACAGAAACCACCAGCAAGGATTCTACGGAAGGGTGGTGCTTTCCCTGCACGTGCTCTGGACGTTATCAGGAGGGGTCAGTCCCTGGAGAAGGGCATCGCCCCTGGAGATGGGGAGGGTCAAGGAGGAGGAGGAAGACCCTCAGTGAGGTGGACAGGCACAGGGACGGCCCCCCTGGGCTTTGGCAAGGCAGTGACCACGAGGACGGCGCACGGCAGGATAGGGTTCTACTCTGCAGAGGACACGGGGTCCTTGAGCCAAAGCTGACCACGTGGTGCCTTTATAAACACAGCCGCGCACGCGCACACGGGTGGGAGCAGAGGGAGAAAGCTGGACACCACCGTGCAGACAGGAGAGAGAAGCATCTGTAAGAGCAAAGGACGCCCAGGGGGACCAGTGGCCAGCAGAACTCAGGAGAGGGGCCGAGGGGCTCACAGACAGGGAACTGGACTTTTTAGCTTCCAGATCTGTGAGAAATTCAATTCCTGGTCTCCGAAGCCTCCTCCCACCGTGTCTTTCCTGTTGCTGCGGTCCTAGGTAACTAAGGCAAACTGAAGCTCAATAGATCTAGGTCGCTGGACACTTCAGAACTGGGGCTACTGAATCTACAGCATACCCTCGTTAGGGAACCCCCGAGTGAGAAGACCCCCAGATTGTGATGTTTAAGACAATCCCCAAACTCATACAGCTTCTAAGCTCTGAAAGGGTCTTGAAAATCAGAGGCCCCCGCCACCTGCAGTCTATACAAGACCCGCTCTGTGCCCCAGGCTGGGTGTCTCCACTGACCTTCTCAAACTCCAGCCGGATGGGCGGTGGGAAGTGGCCGGACACCCAGTCTGCAGCTTCCCGCCCCAGGACCATGGCCTCGGCCACCGAGGAGACGCCGAATCGGCACATGACGGAGTCAGTGTCGCCATACACCACCTAGGAGACGGGGTACAAGGAGGGCGAGTGGGCACGGTGGGACGGGGCTTGGGGCAGAGCAGGCAGGCGTGGCGGCCGGGCGGGCCCCTGACCTTGGCATTGGCACTGTAGCCGTTCTCCACCGTGTACTTGGACTCCACCAGCTGCTTCGTTTTCTCAATCATCTGACGCCCGAAGCCGGTGACGCTCTGCGGGGTGGAAATGACACACGTGAAGGGCCACAGCTCTCTGCAGCGGGTCCGGGCTCGAGTCCCCACAGCGGTTCCAAGTGTGCAAGTGGGGGAGGGGCTACTGGGCCTGGTGGTGCGACGGTTAAAGCGCCAGGCTGTTAACTGAAAGGGGGGAGGCTGGCACACTCCAGGCGCTCTGCGGGAGAAAGACGTGCCCGTCTGTCTCCACAGATTCGCAGCCTGGAAACCGGCTGGGGCCACAGGGTCACCAGGAGTTGAACTGACTCAAGAGCAGTGGGTTTGGTGCGCGTTTTAATCTACAAGCTTGACCTAAGACGAGGGCAAGCGAGAAGAGACATGACGGGCCTGGGAGAGGCGGCCCCTGGGAGGACTCTCAAAGAAAGCCAGCCCGAGGGGGTGTGCCCATGCCATGTCCTGTGGGGTAGGGTGGGGTGGGGTGGTGTCAGGGTTAAGAGCGGCCCCCAGGAGAGGACAGTGGTGCCTCCTTGCTCACCTGGGAGATCTCAAGGCAGGGCAGCTTGCCCACCTGGGCACCCGTGAAGCCATACACAGAGTTGGCGCTCACTTTCAGCGCCAGCTGCCGCCCATCCAGGACCTGGCGGCGCAGGGGGTCGGTCTCCTTGGCTAGCTCGGCCTTGGCCCTGGGGTCGGGGGTGGGGGACATGGAGGCAAAGGTCACTCAGAAACCCCAGAAGAGAGGAGGGCTGGGCAAGGGCCAGGAAGCCTCTGGAAAGGGTGCCACATGTAGAGCCCAAGGGGTCTGGCCGCCTAGAAGGGGTCATGCAAAGACACAGCCAGGTGGCCCTGGGGGAACCCGGAGGGGTGTGGGACAGGGGCTTAGGGACGACCTTTTCCGGGCGCTGAGCAGATTCTCCAGGATCTGGGGGAGCAGGCCCTTGCGCACTGACGTCTTCACAAACTCGTCCCCCGTGGGCGTCTTGATGAACTGCTCTGAGGTCAGGCTGGGTCGGAGGGCAGGGAGTGACTGGGTGGCCCCCACTCTACCTCTAGCCCCGCCCATCTCTGCCCCACTTTTCATGCCCCCCACTCCCCGACTCCATGCCCACCACCCCCAGGAGCTCTGAGGGCCAGGTTCTACAGGGACGTGTGTGGGGTGAGGCGTCTGTACCCCAGCTTCTGGGCGGCCCCGGGCCGCAGGAGGGTGGTGTAGCACAGGTTGTGGGCCATCATGATGGACGGGTACAGCGAGGAGAAGTCCAGGGTGGCGATGGGCACGTCGTAGTACCTGGGGCGGGGTGGGGAGTGGTCAGGCTGGGCCCCCATCCCTGCCTGCCCGCCGTGGGGTCCGGGACTCACCCTTTGAGCGGCTCAATGACAGTGGCCCCCGTGTAGTCCTCGCCTCCCTCTGTCTTCACCACGGGCATCACCAGGCCCTGGCACATGGCCTGGTGGGAAGATGGGACGGGCAGTGGAGGAAGGAGAAGGGACGGGGGTGCAGGGGAGCCCGGCGGGCCTGGAGGGGCCCACTGACCTGGCGGAGCAGCTGGGACACGACCTTGACCTGCTGGCCGCGGGTGAGCAGGTAGCCGAGCGGCACGCCGGTGACCCGGGCCATCTCCACGGCATTGACCAGCACCATGAGACGCTCCAGCAGGCGCAGCGGCAGGTAGGCATCCTTCAGGCAGTACACGGCCAGGCGGCGGCGCGTCTGCTCATTCCCGTTCTGGGGGTGGGCGGGCTGGGTCAGGGGACAAGGTCTGGGGGACGAAGTCAGGGAAGGGAGGAGGGCGAAGGGGAGCCAGAGGTCACAGGAGTGGGCCAGGAGTCTGAGGTCAGAGACAGAGGGGAGGCCGTGAGGACAGGGGAGCAGTGAAGTACAGTCTGGATGGTGGGTAGGAAGCGAGGCCACAGGTCACAGGAGGATGAGGTCGGAGGCCGAGACATGAGGTCCAGAGAGCAATCAGAGATCAGAGAACAGAGGTGCGGACAATAGGGCAAGGTTAGGGGTCAGGAGGGTAAGGTGAGAGGCTGGGAGAACAGGTGAGGAGCTACGGTCAAAGACCAGGGAGGTGAATGCATCAAGAGGTCAGAGGTCAGCTGGAGGACTTAGAAGCCAAAATCAGGGCAGGTGAGGGGCCGAGGTTGGGGAAAGGTGGGAAGTCAGGGGCGAAAGTCAGGAGAGGTGAGAGGTGGGAGACTGAGGTCAGGAGAGGTGGGAGGTAGGGGATGAGGAGGTGAGAGGCCAAGGTGAGGATAGGTGAAGTGAAAGGCTGTGGTCAGAGAGTTGAGAGGCGGGAGGTGGGGGGCAGAG